GACTGCACACATGCACAGGATATATTCCATTAATAACCCCTTTATGTACGCTTACTGCAAATATTTGTTCAACTGAATCATTATACTTTCCACCCTGACCAGAACAGCAAATTCAGCATATCAGGCAGAGTTTTTTCTTTTCATTTCCTGCTATCTGACCCTTTTTACAGGAAATATCAGGGCTCTAATCTGGAACCTTGTACATGTTGTTCTACCACCAAGATATTATCCTTTTTCCAATCATACATTTTTCTTTACATAAAAAGTTTTTTTAAAAAAAATCTAATTGCCATGGTAGCATACCTTCAGTTGTAGCACCCACTCTCTGAAATACATTGTACAAATTAGAGAGCTCCCTTTTTTCTCGTTAAAAAATCTTATCAAACACTCTATATAGAGAAGAAAATAGAAAGGGGGATGGGGAAGGGCGCCAGGACACTGAGCATGCAGGGAAGAAGGAAAAAAGTAGAGATGTGCACCAACTTTTTCTTAATTGCTCCATAAAATGACTCTGACATATCTGGAGATTTTGTTTTGGCCCAAATCCAAACAAGCAAAATGTTCCAACCTTTGTTTTTGGCAAAGCATGGTTGATCCAAAACAGCTCAGCAAAACTTCTAGAATATCATAGGGATCAAAACCAGTCAGATTTTCTTCTTCAAACTTGCCACTATTCCATTTTCTAAATAGTTTAATTGGAACAAATGAGCACAAATAGCACAAGAACTCACACATGAAAAACTACATTAGACACTCCTAGCTGGTTTTAAGATGTATTGCTTGCAATTTTCAAGAAGCTAGTTTCAAAACTAGCATTACTTGCTTGCATGTACTAATCTCCTTTTAAACTATCATACTGGCTGGGAATTTTTGGAGTTGAACGCCACACATTTTAAAGTTGCCAAATTTGAAAAGAGCTGGTTTAAATTGATATACAGCCAGAGTGGTATGCTGATAAAGACATTGGACTAGGGCTGTAGGAACCAAATCAAGTTAAGTCTTGGGCATAGAGGTTTATTGGATTAAAATTCATTCAATTTTCTTTCTCTTTTTTCCTCTTACAGTACATTGCATACTGTAATTGTATTAAATGTTCGTCAGCATTCAGCTTTTAAAACAAATATACCTTTGCTGTGTACAGTATGTTTTGTTTGATTTGCTTATGTAACATATTTGCTTTACTTTGATAAGCAAAGGGAGGGAGCAAGAAGCAGCATAAAACATACAGGAAAAATAATGGAAATGTTATGGGTAGCTTAATTTGGTACATTACATTATTCTTTATTCTTGTTATATCCTCAAACATTTCTTATCCATTGTTCAGATTACCAAGAGGCAAAATCACTATTCTGCATACCTCTTATGCCCAAGATGAATTAGTGCAAATTCATGTAATCTATTAAAAGTGGTGAAGCTTTTAAGTAAGCATCCAAAGACTTGTTAAAATCAAAAATAATTACCAGCTTTAATATAACATGCCTAGGAGTTTTTATGATGTTATTTTAACATTTATCAATAAAATATTCAACTAGAAAGCAGTCTTTTATATCATTGGCACATGTAAAATATGTTCATAATTGTCAATAAGCACAGCATAAGCACAACTCATGTATTAAATATGTTTATGATAGACATATAGATACACATAGTAATTTATCTGAACTTGCATTTTTGGAGTTATATAAGTAGCATCATGGTGACAAGTCTAACTGCAGATCTCAAAATAATTTCTGAAAAAGTTACATGGATAAAATATTTGCAGGAAAGCAGAATCACCCATGACAACAGCCAATGAATGCAAAACATACCTGGTTCTTAAAAGGATTTGGAGGGAATGAGAAGTCTTGTGTGACACATGGGAGATGTTAATTGGATCTCCAGAGATTTTTGTTTCTATCTTAAAAGCATCAAGACAGAGGAAAGCTATCACAATTCAATGCAGCAAATGATGCTCAGGGTGGGCAGAGTTTTGCTCCTTTTACGTAGTTCTGATACAAAAAACATAGCCCAGTTGCTGTTCCTTTTTTGTGTGTGTGCATTTTGCATCAGCTTGATGCAATCAATTTACTATTTTTGCTATAAAACCTATTTTAACCAATCCAGAACCTCTGATTATTTGCCTAAAGAGTTATGAAATGCATTTGGGGGTTTAACACTATAGATACTCTTGATTTACAAACATTTATTTAGCAACCGTTCCAAGTTACTATGGCTCTGAAAAAAAGTGGGCGCTTTTTGTACTTATGACTGTTGCAGCTTCCCCAGTCAAGTGATCAAAATTTGGGTGCTTGGCAAATAACATGTATTTACACAGCTGCAGAATCCTGGGATTATTACCAGTTTGCAATCCTCCCAGCCAGCTTCCAAAAATGCAAGCCAGATTTGTTTAATTACTATGTGATTCACTTAACGCCTGCAGTGCTGTTGCTTAACAACTGTGACAAAAAGTGACTCCAGTGTGACTCCCTTAACAACTGCCTTGCCTAGCAAAGGAAATTATAGTCTTAACTGTGGTTGTAAATCGGGGACTATCTGTAAAAGGTTTTTCTTTCAAAGAACTGCACCATACTCTATCCAGCTCAGTTCCTGGTAAATTTTCAACATCTGCATTCTTTTTTTAATCCCACCTTTGTTCCTTTTATAAATGGTTTAAGGTGGCAAACCTAATCCTCCTTCCTCTCCTATTTTCCCCAGAACAACAATCCCGTGAGGTGTTAGGGAATGAGAGGGAATGATTAACTCAATCACCCAACTGGCTTTCATTCCTAAAGTAGAACTAGAACTAGAACTCACTGCCTCCTGATTTCTACCTTGGTGCCTTAAACAATCTCTAGACCAAACTGGCTCTTGCAACCTCTGCTTTGTTCAGCCTGAATGGATATTATTCAGCTTCAAGGTTAGAATGAAGAATTAAGGTTCAGCTTCTCTCCAAAGGCTACCGAGATGGGATCAACACTGGAACGCCAGCTACTAAAAACCTTCCATGTCGAATTGTAGATCCTGTTAGTTGATGGTCTCCTGGAGGCCTGGATTGTTCTGGTTACCCTGATGGACAACTTGTCCTTTGTCAGAGCTTTCCGCTCAAATGCCAGGCGGTCAGCTGCAACCATTGAGACTCCGGATGCACTAGAGCCCCCTGAGGGATATCCTTTCCTGTGGGATCCTCCAGGGTCTGGCTATCGATTACGTATTCATAATCTTCATAATAATTCATAATTATGTATTCATAATCTTGTATGTATGGGACGCGGTAGCTCAGTGGCTAAGACGCTAAGCTCGTCGATCAGAAAGGTCGGCAATTCGGCGGTTCGAATCCCTAGCGCTGCGTAAATCAGTGAGCTCCCATTACTTGTCCCAGGTTCTGCAAACCTAGCAGTTCGAAAGCATGTAGAAATACAAGTAGAAAAATAGGAACCACCTTCGGTGGGAGGGTAACAAGTGTTCCATGTGCCTTCCATGCAGGCGGCATGACCACAGAGACAGGGTTGGCTCTTCAGCTTTGAAACTGAGATGAGCACTGCCCCCTAGAGTCAGGAACGACTAGTACACATGTGCAAGGGGAACCTTTACCTTTAATCTTGTACTTATATCTATTGTCTTATACACGCTTGAGAAAACAAATAAATAAATAAATAAAAAACTTGGGAGCGGGGAGGGACTTTCAAAGGTAGAGACTGAACGGGACACGATCGCGCTCGAGGTAGCCTCGTTTATGTCCGTTTCCTACGCCCCGCCCCGCCGGTAGAAAATGGTGCCCTCAGAGGATTCAAGAGTCCTGGAGAGTGGGACTCCCGGGGGTCCCCATGAGCACACACTGGCCGCCTGAGAAGCGGGGCCATGTTGTCTGGTTCGTTAGCAAGAGCTTCGCGTGCTCCAAATCACCCGCCCCCAGCCCGCGTCCCTCACGCAGACCCCGAGGCTGAGCGAATGAGCAGCCGCAGTCCCAGCCGCCGCGAGTGAATTAGGTTAAACCAGCCTCCCCACTCCCCCTCTCCTCGTACGGGAGAAGGAAGGGAAAGGAGCCGCCCCCTTTTCCCCCCGGCCCCTCTTTCACGGATCGGACGGGGGCTGCTGTGGCTCAGGTTGGCCGCCATGAACGGCGGAGTCTGGCGCAGGCCCAGGCCCGGCGCGGAGGCAAGCTGCTCAGCCCTGCCTGGGTTGCCATGGTGACGGGCGGCAGGCAGAGCAGCGGCAGCGGCGGCGGCGGCGGCGCTGTCAGTGAGAGCCAGCCGAGCGAGCGAACGGCGGAAATCAGGCGCAGGCGTCCGTGGGGGCTGCAGGAGGGGAAGGCAGCGCCGCCGCGGCCGCCATGGACGCGCACTGCGATGGTGGCGAACCCACCGCGCTGGGGGAGCAGCCGCCGCCGCCGCCCTCGGGCAAGCTGAACAAAACCGCCTTCAAATTGTTTAAGCGGAGGAAATCCGGGAGCGCCATGCCAAGCATCTTCGGTGTGAGGAGCGGCGGCAAAAGCAAAAGCGGCGAAGGCGGCGGCGGCGGCGGGCAGGGAACGGGCATGGTGAGGAGCAAGACCCACGACGGCCTGGCCGAGGTGCTGGAGCAGGAGAGCAGCAGGAGCGAGGCTCCAGCGGCTGTCGAGAGCGGCCGTGTGGCGGGTAGCGGGGCCGCCTCTGTGGCCGCTAAGGAAGCCGTCTCTTCCTGCTCGCCCGCGGCCGCAGCGGCGGCGGGCAAGTCGCACAGCTTCTTCTCGCTGTTGCGCAAAAACGGCCGCTCCGACGAAGGCGGCAAAAGCGAGCGAGCCAAAGGGCGCGGGGGCCTCAAAGGGCTCTTCAGCAGCATGCGGTGGTCCCGCCGGGAAAAGCCGGGCGGCGGGGGGAAGGACGACGAGGCCGGCGAGGGCTCCGAAGGCCAGCCCAGTCCCAGCATCCTCAACACGGGCTCCCTCACGGCCAGCCTGGAGTGCATCAAAGAGGAGGTAGCGCCGCCAGGAGCGCCCGCTGACGCTGTCCGGACTCCCCTGGTCACTAAGGATGGAGAACAGCCCGCAAGTCCCCTTGCCCCCGAGGTTATGCCCACCCCGGACCTGGCACCGCAGCCGGCCCCGTGTGGGTCTGGAGGAGGAGAGGAGCTTCCCGGGATTCTGCTCCAGGAGAAAGAGATCCATCCTGAATCCACCGTTAGTGATGGTGAAGAGATCATCCAGGAGGACTCGGCTAAAACAGGTGACCTCCCCATCAAGTCTTCCCCCCCTGTTGAACCCAAGTATGAACGCAGCCAAGAGACGGCGGCAGCCCCTGACCCTTCCTCTCTTGATCCACCCTCTGAGCCGTCTATAGACCGTATTTGTTTGATGTTTGCTGACGTGACTTCACTGAAAAGCTTTGACTCTCTTACAGGCTGTGGGGACATTATTGCTGACCAGGAAGATGACGCGGGCAGCGGCGGTGGCAGTGGTGGAGGTGGAAGTGAGAGGAGTGCCCCTGGGATTGTCAAAGCTGGGCCCTCCAAGAAGCCTACCGGCGTGGTGACTTACCAGGGAGGAGGAGAGGAGATGGCCAGCCCTGAACAGGTGGGAGGTACTCAGGAATTCTGGGATTTATTGTCGCACACTGAAGAGAAATCACAGGGGACATCAGGAAGGATGGAATCCCCTGAGACCTCCAAAGGTGATAAGATTGTCAGGAGAGTTCAGGAAGGGTCAGCAAATGGAAAGCACATTGGTCTTAGCCAGATTCCAGTTCACCACCAAAAAGAAGACCAGAAAAATAGAGAAAAGGAGCAGCAAGAAGCCATCCCCAGCGGTGATGAGGGCTATTGGGATTCTACTACACCTGGACCTGAAGAAGACAATACTAATAGTATTCAGAAAGAGGTAATTCCCAGAGACAGCTACAGTGGGGATGCTCTCTATGATCTGTATACTGATCCAGATGAAAACACAGCAACTGTGACTTCTGCAGAAAATATCACCACAGTGACTTCTTGCAAGCCATTATCTCCGATAGCAACTACTTGTCCAGTCAAAACCCATACAACTTCACTCAAGGATTCCAAGATACCCATCAGTATCAAGCATTTTACATCGCCACATGGTAGCCATGGCCAGGATTCCAGTAATAGCCATCATATTGTACACCACCAGGCCACCAAAAGTGAGATCCCTAGAACAAAAATCCCTGTTTCAAAAGTGCTTGTACACCGAGCCAGTTACCGAAGCTTAGCAGGGACAACAGGTAAAACAGCCACATATCATGAAAATGCCAAAAAATAAAAGGAAATAATAATGGGCATCCCAATCTTTTCAGGAACCCTCTAATAAGCAGTTTGGCCTTGACCTCATCTAAAGGAAGACACTTCCATGTGCCCCTTTTATGAATGATGAATGCAAGGGACAAATGCTTCTCAATTCCACCTTGAAATACAATGTGTGTGTATGTGTGTGAGATATATATATATATCTCACACACATACACACTTTTTGAGCACTTTTTAAACATTTGTATCCTGTTTTTCGTTATTCGCTAAAATACTTTGTTGAAGGCCACTTTTCCATGCGTTTTGTGCAAGCAGAAATCTGATGAATAATGCAAACTTGAAAGAAAGAATAATGAATGAATAATGCAAACTTGTATTAAGAAGACAGAGCTGTGGGAGAGAGAGGACCAAATGAAGTTTTTCCTTATATACGAGCTTTTTAAAAAAATGTTTTTGGCTTATATTGAAAATGCTTGCTCCAATATTGTGAGAAAGTGTCAAAAATAATAAAATAGTAGTAACAGCAGTAAAACTTCAGATATTTAATTTGAGATATACAGAGCGCTGTCTATTGTTAGCAGATTCAGTTCATTAAAGGTAGCTGATTAACAAGTTAGGTGGGTTTCTATAATGGGAAGAGATATTTTTGCTTGCTTTTCTGTCTGCTTTGGATCTGAACTAATATAAATGGATGTTCAAGACATCTAGTGAACTTTCAGATGTTTACATCAATATTTTTCCAATGCGTAAAATAATCAGGTTCCGGGGAACTTCCCTACATGTTAAGATAGAGGCAACTACAACATTTATACAATAAATTGTACTTCATGTATAAATAGGTGCATATGTTACTCCTAGTGATACAATTTTTAATAATTAAAATGTCTTTCTGTATTTACTAGAGTTGAAGCAAAATTAGTTTTTATAGCTTGGTAATTTTATGGTTCTAAATGTGTGGGCCTTCCTATAATATTGTAAACCAGAATTAAAAATTTATATAGGCTGTACCATCCCAGAATAAAAACTCTATTGTAATGATCCTGCAAGATGATGCATGCATCAGAGCCAAAGTTCCAGTGGTGTTTTTTTTTTTTTTCAAACCTAATTCCTAGGAATTTCTAAGATAGAATATGTTTAGCTTATTAGGCTGTCACTGCCAACTTGTTAATATTTTCAAAGATAACATATTTAAACAGTTGCTTCCCTAAATTTTAATCTCTATAGTTATTAAATAAAACAACTGGCAAACTCTTAGTCCATCAACTGTTTGTTTGTTTTTAATCTCAGGCAACAATAGACATGTTGAAGGCCACAGAATATATGAGTACTACTGAAGTAGTTACTGTACAGTGTTGACATCTTTTCAGTAAAGTATCTTGTTATATGCCTAAATATTTATTTTCAAGACAGGTAGGAAGGCTAGGGTGTTATGTCAATCCATTTGGAAATTAATCCATTTATAATTAAAATTTGCTTTTAAAACCGAATATAGAGTATTAACTAAAAAAGATAACAAATTACTTATATGACTAACATTTTAGTCATTAAGCATTTGTTTAACCTTTTTAGCTTTTACAGTAAATAAAGACAGGCATTCAAAGTGCACATCAAAAGAATAGAGGCTATATACTAATAAAGAAAAGATAAAATACAAGTTTGGAATATAGTAACAATTGGTTAATTGCTTATATTAATTAAATTATATTGAAGTACCCTATGTAAAGCTGTGCAAAAAACAAGATTTGTTTATTTGTAAAGCTCAAGCTCCAAAAAGTGAATTTAGATACCTGAGAATGGGCCATTTGGGATTTCCCCCTCTTTTTTCCCCCCATACTGTGAACAACTGAATCCATAGTGTGTCAAAACAGTGTTACAAGCTATTTTTTCAAGTAATTTCACTTTCATAAGTAATTTGCTATGCAGAGTATAAATGGAGGAACATACACAACCTATTCCTTTCTGCATGAGGCACGTGAAACTAGTTAAGGATGTTTTGGGATCCTAGCCAGGTTTTTCTACTCATGGGTCATGCTCTGAAGTATGGATGTTCTGTGCTGTAAGTGGACTTTAGGTTTATTATCCCAAATAGCAGCTCCCATGCATTACAGTAAACTGTTTTTGAAATTTTCAAAAGGAATTCGTAATATGTCTAGCTAAGAAAAATAAATATGAGATTAAAGCAAGGGTGATCTTTGGATTCAGCTAATAATGTGTCTTGATTGTAATATTGCATATATAGGTTCTGATTCTCAACCACTAAGTTCTAGAAAGTAAGAAAACTGTTTCTAATGGTTTGTAGATAATATGTCGGAAACTTGAGGTGGGTTATGTCATCCATTATCCTGTGAAAGAAGCAAAAATCAAAGCCTTTCTATATTTGTTATGTAGCTGTATATTCAAGCCTGAAATATCCATTCTAAACATGCTTAAACATTGGCAATAGGTTTTGTCATAATAAATGAGATCTCCCATGTAAAATGCATGCTTATTAGAATGTGAAGGCACTATCTGGTGGTATACTTTATATATGGTATTGTCTCAAAATGTATTTGTGGGTTGTTGCAGGTGCACTCCTTATGCAAACCTAATGTATATATGTATGTATATTCCCATGGATACACATACCATACATGCACACATTTCTGCAAAGTGCTAAATGGCATGTATATTAATTTCCAAAGGATAAGATCAAGGATATACAGAGCAATTCTGTTCAAATCATTTTGACAGTTGATCACCTTTTCGTGAGAAAGGGTTTGGTTTTTAGATTGATTTTGCTTTAAAAAATAGGATGAAGATAGTGAGTGGCTCACTTTAATGTAGGCCCTTTCATTGGGAATTCTGCAACTATATCAGAGGAAACCATTTTTATTTGTACTGTAACTGTAATATTTTGGAAGGAAACATGTAAAGGACACAGAACTTTAATGCTAGTAAATATATAAGAAATGCTTGTACTGTTTTATATCAGTGAAGGGCATGCTCTCCTTTTGCATGCTTTTTAAGCAAGTCTATCACCATGCTCCTTGTTTTATAATAATAATAATGCATACATAAGAGCTCAGGGAGCTAAAGTTACAATGGAAAGAGAATGTTATCATTTGTGAGATGAGTTAATTACAGAACAAAACAGTGGTGCACCAGTTAAAGTATTAATAATTAAATTTCCTTATTTTTCTTGCAAAATTTCATCATACACATTTTGTTTATATGTAGTATATTTATAAGAAGAAATAATAGATTTCCCTTTCCATGAATAACTGAAGAAATGAAACATGTTATCTTTGATTTTTCTCATTTTGTTTTATTTTTCATCTTCATCTTGTCCTGTTTCTGAAAATTAATAAATACCGCTCAAGGCATAATTTATGATTGAATGTATTCATGATTAATTAGAAATATATTTAAGTAGACCTTGACTTATGATGCTGAGTGACTGTTCAAAGTTTCAAGAGTTCAGAGTTTCAAAATGGGACTTATGATCCAGATTCAAAGTTCTAATATTGATTACCCTCTGCAGTCATGTGGCCATGTTTTGGATGCAGCCTGCATTTACGGGCTTTTGCCAGTGCCCCATAATCGAGTGATTGTGATTTATGACATTTTTGCCTGAAACTTACATTTGTTTTTGATTTCTTGCAAAAATTGCTCTGTAGTGAACAATTGGTTCCCTTAGTGATTGTAGTGTTCACTTAACGACTGCCACCAGAAAGGTTGTAAAACAGCACAGGGACATGGTGACCTGCTGAAATTGTGGGGTCAGTTACACTTGTAAGTTGAGGACTACCTGTATGTGGTTCTGATAAACGTACATTTTGTAATGTCAGGATGAGGTTATTATTTCTCTCTGTTTATTCTGTTGAAAATGCTTGATGCTAATAAGGAAAATATTAAGGTAGCTGTTGTCTCAACATTTGGCTGTGAAGTTAAAATGACTGGCATCTGGCAAAAAAATCCGTAAGGAAGTTAAGAAGGAATCGGTTCTCATATTAGTTGATATGACCCAGTACAGTAGCAACTCATTTATCTGCTAGCAGTATTTATAAGTTGATGACAATCATATCTTGAAAAAGATTAATTGAAGCCAAGTATTTGTATTCCTTACCATAACAACACAGATCTTTATAAATCATGTAAAAGCCATAGGATGATTCTATCTTTGGAAGACAAAGTATAGTTGCCATGAAAGTAATATTTATTTTAAAAGCCCAACAGTGTATTGTTCAGATCTTGGCTGGTTCAAATCCAGAGCACTGGTTAATAACAAGGAGATATAGCTAACCAGCCCCTTATAACTGTTTAGTGATTATCTGGATTTTTGCAATCCATATTTTAATCCATACTTCAGCCAGATACCATAGTAATAAGGTACCTGCAGCTCTTAGAAGACTATAATTAACAAATATCTGTCATTACATAAGACTTGTGAATTTGCCAAGCTGTTGCTAGAATTTAAAGATCGGGGCACTTTACGGAATCAAGAAAATGTGAAACTTATGTGGGGGAAAAAGCAATGGAAAACTTTAGTTACTGCAGAACATAGCATGAGGAAATGTCATATTATTCTGGTGACATGAAAATTAAAAATTTTGGTGCTTCCTTTGAATTAGAAGTATTTCAGTCAAATCTTGACTCTATCTGCAATTACACTCCACCTACATGCTGCTACAACCAGCATCACTAAAAGTGGTCCTTAATTATAGACAAACCATCATTTCATGCAATTCAGTCTATTCCTGTTTACTCTAAAGTAATTTCTACTGCCCAGTGGCCTTATTCCCAGGCATAGTATTAAGTAGTTAATTGTTTTCATATGTTTAATTTTGCAACTTGCAAATGTGGCTAATTTTTGCCAGTTCTTTTTATTTTTAAATATATATATTTGTATTTTAGAAAAATAAACAATACCTAAGACCGTGCACTGAAAAGCATGCTAAACAAAGTTATGTTGGTACTCTGTATACCCCTCTTAATAGATTAATGTTTGAAGGGGGCAAAATTAACTTAGAAATTTAGGAAGGAAACAAAAGATTATCATCCTGGAGGCATTCTTTAGAGTTGTACAGGTGAATCGGAGATTCCTGTATTTCTGCAGTCTTAATTGGCTAATTGGTTTTTCAGGTCCCAAAGATGATGTATCCTTTAATAATTGTCACTATTTTTATTTGTTAAAGAAGACTTTATTAAAATTCTATTTGGGATGATGCTTGTGCTGTTATCCTGTACTTAACATATAAAGACTATATTAGAGCAGGCATTTTAATCTCTTTGCACTTACTGTTCACTTAGTACATTTTATATGTTTTTAGAAAATGCATACTATAGTATAGTTCTAGTATTTTATATCACATGTTTTTAGGAAACTATTTTCAGAAGGAGGTACTTTTTTCTCTTAGTAGTATGAACTGCCTTGTTCACCCCTAGTTTACTCTCATAGATACAAAATTTGTGCTGAAAATGTGGTCTGCATTTGACACAAAGAGTTCATTCTCATTTCAGTGTACATGCATTGCTCTTTATTGGCAGAAATCCACAACCCACTTATTCTACAGCAATTCAATTGACTTTAGTGTGGGATAAATGGGATGTGGATTGTAGCCATCTGCAGTCATGGGAATAAAGCACATGGAATAGATTTAAAACAGCCCTGACATTACAAAGCAAATGCATGATTGGTGTTACTGAAGAAGCAAACTGATTACCCTGTAAACATCCTGACTAGTCAATGAAGAAAAAGCACACAAAATTGGTAGTATTTTTTGTTTATAAATTAATCTTGGGCGATTCCATTTCTGGTTAATTTTTCATGCCCTCTACTGAATTATTTATTAACACTTAAATGATATTGCATCAAAGTCCTTGATCTGGTATCTGATTCTGAAGGTAATTCCAGCATGCTTCTGTATCAGAGCAAATTGCCATGGTTTTGCCTTGTGAAGCAAAACTACTAGTTAGTCTGGAAATTTATGGGATTGCCAAGATACAAGGGAGCTCTCTGATTCTGCACCTGACCTCACTCTGAAGCTTTTCATGCTGTTAACAGCATGGTCTCATAAACATTTTTGTTTTTGTTTTGGATAATGCTTATGAATAAAGTTTTGATTCCACGATATAGTACAGAAGCGACGTTTTGTAAGAAAATAGGATGTATGGGGAACTGCATTATTACTGATAGGAAGTTATATTGCTTTTGTGTTTAGGTGAGAAAGAACATACTTTATCAAGGCTATGATAGAGTAGAAATTGATATATTTATACACTAAATAGTGCAACAATATGTTCCAGATTTCTCCTTTTGTAAACAGACATCACATATATGTTCATGCGTAATTTTATTCACCCTATTCCCATTCTGAGTAGATCATAATCATAAGGTCTTTTAAATATTTATGGAATATATTCTGCTACAATGGAACAATATGATTTGAAACCAGATGGTGGATACAATGAAACTTGACGCTAAAAGTTGAGTGTAAATTGCATGGATTTCCAATTTTGTCGTTAAAAATACCTATTTATGGACAGCATGATTCCGAATATGGACAAGGGGGATTTAACTTTCATCTCGTGTGCTGTGTTGCAATCCATCCATCCCTACTTTAACTGTAGAGAGGGGGGGAAAACAAATATTGTAGCTGAAGCTCCAAAATTTTACAAATATAATACTTCACAAATGTAGGATACCATAACTGACATATGAAGTCTGGTTCTGGTACTTGCATTCTCAAATAGATGTGAAGAAGGTATCATCACTTCACCCTGTCCAATCCCATAGTTATTCTGATGCCAGAGCTTCCAGTCTTTCAGAAAATTTGGTCTCTTCAAATGTGTTCAATATGTGCCTGATATTATTACATGTTTCAAAAACCCAGGGATTACCAAAGAGCCAAGGCTGGGACTCCTTGTCAAACATGAATTTGGTGGCAAATCTGAGTTTATTGTAACCTGAAATATGAAAACATATATCTACCCATGAGATGAACGTTTTATTACCATGCGAAGCGATAAGCACAACAGTTATGGTGACTTGAGTTCTTTGCCATAAGCAATAGTGCATTTACTGAATGTGCAGACATCTCTTCCTTTTGTGCTTTTAAATTGTTTTTAACCCTTTTATTTGCTGTATTTCCCTGATTTTGCTTGACATCTATGACATTCTGTGTTGAATCTTTAGGCAAAGTAGCAGTAATAATTATTTTTTGAACAGATATAGTACCAGTAATTAATATAACTAAACTGAGAAGAATAAAATAAAACAATGCAAGCTATTTCTTAAAAATTGAACTCAGGGGCTCATTAGAGGTAGAAATTAAAATGTAAAGCTGCAAACTGGTAGGAAAATATGGGAATCTAGAATATAGTAACATTTCATTCATATTTGTTATTGAGTTCAGAGAATTAGAACAAACTTGGGAATCTCAATTAAAATGCAATCCACTTCCATCATTGATACCATTTTAATTCTCTTAAAGCCATGAGTTAAGATAATCCCAAAGTTTGCATTAAACTGCTTTTTTATATCCCATATTTTGGAGTGACCTGATTAATACTATCTATTTGAATTAAGCACACAAAATCTAACATGTAAGAGAGTGTCAAAATCCCAGTGGCCCTGCATCTCTGTATTCTATACATTTATAGAAAATCCCTTCACATCTGATGTGTTACTCGGTTATAGGCTGTGAGTATTATTGCTTGTACCACTTGTTTAAAGTGGATTTGTATTATGTATCGCAAATCTATTTTTCACTTCCACTCATATATAGTCACAAGCCCGCTTCAGATTATGAATGCATTCTAAATGTAATGCTCTCTGCTTTGATACTACATATTTTCTTGTGTAGTTTTATTCTACTCATCTTTCATAGCCTGATCAGATTGCTTTTGGCATGACTTCCTTACATTGCTATTCTACATTTTCTCTCTGCTTATACTGTATATTCCATGCTTATTTATTTTGCCCTAATGCCAGCAATAATGATATCCTAGTTATCTTTCATTCAGTTTGCTTTTTGCCAGCGATACTTTCTCCATACCCATCCCCTTTCAGTCAACCAGAAGTGCATTTTCCAGGCAAATTTTCCTTTTTTTCCTGCCAAATATCTCTTCTCCTGCAGTCTAAGCACACTGCAGGGTGCATATGCATTGTTTATAAGTATGTCACATAGCATCAGTCAAACATTTCTGTGAACATCTTCATTGGTGCATTTTTTATGAGCAGCCCACTCCATTCTGCTATCTTGTCAGAATTGTATTATTGCATTCTCCAAAATAGACAAAGTTTAATTGACAAATGATATAGTTCATTTAAAAGAATAATGTGGGGTTTGCTGATCAGTAGTACTATTTTAAAGAATCTACTTTGCTTTGTACTAGGTGCCAGTGTGCTTTGTAAAAATTATTACCTTTCATGATAGAGAACTGTTGTTTATTTCATTTCTCTCTCAACATGCAACAAAAGTGTACAAGGTATGGAGAAAGAGAATTTATCCTTCCATGAGCTATCATTCTGACTAAAATTAATGCAGTCAGTGTTTTAAGGAAAGGTGAATGTTTCCAGGTAGTACAGAACAAATACTACATCATAAGCTTCAATCATTTTATGCATGGCATCAGCATAGTTGAAAAATAATAAAATATATGCCACCACCTTCTTTGTTATTTTTGAATGTGCAGAAATCATTTAAAAGACTTTGTGATGATTCCTACCCTCCTCAAAAGCTGTATATTTATTTCAGAACATTTCATGCAAAATGAAAAGCTTTGATTTTGAGTATCAGTCAACTGAAGTGAAAAGAGTTTATGTAACCTGTCAGTAAAATACCTGAACAATTCCTGAATGGCACCCTCACTTCTTTTTAAAGGTTTGCTTTACTAGCAGATGGAAATCCAATTGTTTTCCATATTTTGATGATCTCCCCCATCACATTTATGTGCAAACTACATTTATTGCTGTTGCTTTGTTCAACCAGTAATGCTACCAGCAATTCAGTCCAGGATTAACACTTGGTGTTTGACCTGTACAATTTAAAATTAACACAACCAATACCAAACTTAATTTAGTTTGTGATGGTAGAAAAGGGATCAGATCCTTTCAAGTACAGTAAATTGAATGTGCTGTCTACTGTGCTATCTGCCTCTCCTCATTTTGTAGTTTATTGTATGCTTTCTTTTATAATTTTAATTTGAATTATTAAAGAAAAAGAAATATTTTAGCAAGTTGATAATACTGGTTTGGGATTGTAAGGATGATAATAATGATTTTTTTGTGTTTCATTAAAGAAGTCATTGAAGTATCTAAACAGTTCAGTCTATTTTTTTTTTCATACAGAAGTAAAGTAAGTATACAGAACTAAAAGTAGTTTTTGCTGTTTGGATAATTATTTAATTTTTGGTTTATGACATAATGATGTTATTTACAATTGCAGTCCAGCCAAAGTTATGTTATTTAACATGAACTGATGTTGACTGAGCAGTCATGAATCCTAAAAGTAGTTGCCATGGACTACAAAGGAAGATCTAGGATGCAAATGTGTGTCTGGTGTGATAAATATTTCTCCTGATTCAGTAAAGCAAATCCATGTCTAGAACTAGCCTTTTGTTTGTGGGTACTTGCACTGAAGAATAGAATTACACCCATGAATTGTAATTACTCAGTATATGTACTTGTCTTCAATGACTACTGCATCAGGGCCATGGTTTCTAGCTTCCATAATAAAACAGAAACCTCTAATCGGAATACTGATGTAGCATTCATCATGTAAGTCTCAGTGAGCCTAGAAGATCCATACAGTAGAACCTCTGGTCACGACATAATTCGTTCCATAACTTGGTTCTCAAATTGATTTGGTTGTGACCCAAACCTAATTTTGGAAATTTGGCGCTTAGAAAAAAATGGCACAGAAGGGGAAATTGATCATGGGGGGAAAAAGTGAATATTTTGGTCCTAACCCGATTCGGTTGTGGTCAGTAGTATTCGTGACCAGAGGTTCTACTGTATGTTGTTTCTGGTACCTTCTAGCATATCGGTGTTTGTCCAAAGAGTTACTTCAACCTCTACAGCTGCTGAGATTATTATAACATGTAAGGCACAATATGCCTGTCAATAATTTCAGTTGATTGACAATAATAATGGCAGAGTCATCTCCAAGTTCAATCTTGAGTATCTTCAGGTGAATCTAAGAAACAGCTGGGGGATAATCTGCTAGCCTGTGAGAACAACATGGAATTAGATGGAGTGTAAAAGGAGCTGCTGACGTTTCTTTCCAAGTTCTTTAAACAACCATGAAGGAAAATACAGTGCTTACTTTTGAAAGATCCAGAACAGACTTGATACAAGCTGACTGAGATAGATTTGTATTGTTATAAAATATTGATTTGGTAAATTGCACTCAGCATATTGCAACTGACAGTTCATTTTTAACTACACAGTTTTTTCCTGTTGTGCCATTTCTGCTCAGCTTGTTACCAGTGCAATAGCATTAAAAATAAATCCAGAATTTCTCTCTTCATTTCACCTTGCTCAGAAATCAAATATGCTGTGTGTTGTGAGTAATAAAAACTATAAGACACCAACTGTACAAACAATGTAACTTAACACATGATTATTTGTATAATTGTTTGATGCCATTAAAAATTGTACATAGTTTTGTTTTAATGAGGGTTTTTATTAATGTGGAATATTTAATGCAATAAGTGCTACCAGTATTTTGGGTACATATGCATAAGTGTCCAGTACAAAATGTGATGAGAAAATAACAAAATGTCCAATGTGATGTCATAGTGCAATCATTTGACCTTACATACAATTACAGAATCACTGTGTCATGATGCCCATTTTATCATTTCTCCCAAGATATCTGTGTGTACATGCATGTTAAAAGTAAATCTGTGAACACAATGAACTTCCAAGAGTAAAATACAGTAGCAGTAGAAGGAAGTGCTCTTGAGCAGTGTGCATCTATTCAAACGGGACACAGAATAAATTTCTGAAAGATTCTATCAGCAGTTCTACTTCCTTTGAAAACTTTTTTTAAAAAAAATGTAAATGTAACCTACATTTTAGTGATAAATATCTATGTAGAACTTAATCAATTTAAGTGTGTGCTATATGCACAGAGATGCTTCATTGCTCAAAGCAGAGCTTTTCATGCATCACCCTACAAGCCGAGCACAATGGTGAACATACAAACTAATACACAGGAGTGCTGAGGCCAAGATAGGAGTTCTAACATCTTTATAGGGAATAAACGTGGTGTTCAGTGGGAAAAATTAAGTGTAGATCCAGTAATGGTGCTGCCGGGATTGAGTGGCTTTCTGGAGAAGATCTCACACATACATTATTAGGTGTCCCACCTCCACTTTCTCTCCCTCCAGGTTCTCTTTTCTACACAGCAGGCAGCACTGGAAACTTATTTAATAACTTGGAAAACAAAACTAAGTTTCTATCAAGTTGGTAGTTTCTCTGGAGACTACCCAAGTGATGAACGAACTTTGGTCATTGCATGGACTTCATGGTCTTCACAGGTGATTTATTTTAGCAACTTGATTCAGTGATTGCAGTCACACTGATGGAATAGAAAAGAAAACAGTTTTATTATGGGAGTTAGGCAGTCCATGCTACACATCTATTTTAGTTGTGACTTTTACACTTATTATATCCTGGTTTGTGGGCTGAGAGTGTTGATAGTTTTCATAGGGTCTAAGGAACATTCCCCACAGCTGAACGGAAGTATTTCCACCCATCCTGGACTCTGCAGAAAATTTCCTGTCTCCACTGCCAACTCCTGCCTCTGTTTCATGTCACTGCAGTCACCTGACTTCTCTGACATTGGCTGATACCTAAAAAACTATATACACCTGGATGCTGCTCTTGAATAGTATAAGATTAAGGGAGAAAATGCTACTTCTGCAGAGGATGACAAGCCTGTCTTCTCTTACATGTAAAAAGCCACGGGGAACGCAGAAAGAAAATATCACAGCCATTTTGTGGCACGATTAAGTGCACACCAAGAAAGGAACTAAGAATGGGTTAATTTCTGCATCTGATTCAAACACTAACAAAGTAATTCCATTGGAGCCAATGGCAAAATCTAAGGAGGGGTGGAATTTGTCTTTCTCAAAGCCGCCTGTGCTTATATTCGGGATGGAAAGAAAGGAATAACTACATTTTTCCATGCATGTATGAACATATGGTTTTCACCACTAAAAAATGCTTTCCCTCTGGTTTCAATAGGAAGCATAATGTATACCAGCTAAAGGGTTAACAGAGATCTGAAAATGATTTGGAAATTTAGTGGTGACTAGAGGAATTCTGTCAAATGATTAACTTTTCAGGTTTAGTCCTAAAATGCCACTATAATTCTTCCTTTCTTCACCTCCAAACCACCAGCTTTTGAAATCTTGGTGGAAGATTGGAGAAAATTTTGCAAGTTTGAATTTCCTCTTCCAAAAGCAAATCTCTCCGTCCAACCTCAAAAGGGAAAATGCAAGACCTCCTATAATGGTTATATGTTATTGTTCAGAGTAGTATGTACCGGTGTATCGTAACTAACTTAACACAGTGTGTCTACAATCCGTTGTTGAGCAGTAATTGATTGGTCAATTGATTGTGTGCCATCAAATCGGTATTCATTCTTGTTGACTACATAGATGGATTTCTTGCAGAATGATTTATATCTAATTTTCAGATCTCCCAACAGTGCATTAATTGCCACTTTAACTGAGACCATACAACTTGTACTGGGCATCTTCTCTTTGCTTCCACCTTTCCCAATATTATAGCCTTATCTAGAGAGCTGGATCTTCACATAATGTATCCAAAGTAGGATATTCTAAGCCTGGCCATTTGTACCTCTAGTGAGAACTCTGCATTGATTTCTTTAATGATTCATTTGTTTGTTTTCTCAGCTTTCTATGGTATTCTCAGGAGTCTTCTCCAATACTAGCCTTCCTAAGTATCAATACTATTTTTGTCCTGCTTGTTTCTATCTTGCTCCTGTTAAAACAGTAAGGCTTATTTATTTTCCTTCGTTTCTTTTCTTGAATTTAAAACCTACTTTTTCTGAAATAAGCCCCAAATAATTAACAACGTGAACACTTGATGTGACAGTATCACTACAATAATGTCAGTATAGCAATCAACATAACGACAAAAGTCGTCTTATGTCCAGTGTTATGGGTGATGATTTTCCCTGTCGTCCAATGGTCAGAGTCTCCCAGAATGAGTGTGTTTAGGAGTCCTTCTTAATTTAAATCTCTGATTCCCAAGATGCCAAAGAAGATTGGGAGAACTTTTTACCACTTTTAGTTGATATGCCATTGTTTGCCTTTGTGAAAGGAAATAACGGTAAAGGTGTTATGCATATTGATGGATGACTATATTTGTAGCTGAGGGTTGAACTGGGGAGTTCTTGGTGTTCTCTGAGATTTGTTGTTTTCATGCAGATGTTTCATTACCAAACTAGGTAAAATTATCAGTGCTAATGATGAGCACTGATGATATTACCTACAGTAGTTTGTTATTAAATGTGTGTATGTTGGTAACCTACAAAACATCCTTGACATAGGGCTGCCGTTGTCTAATTTACTGTTACTAAATTCAGCAACCAGGTTGGTCTGGGGGGGGGGAGAGGGAGGAGAGATCCCCCCCTTCTGCTAAAACCATCGCATTGGCTGCAAATATGGATGAAATACAAATAAATGATTACCTTTAAAGCCCTCTATGGGTTGGCAGCATTCCAAGAGAGAATGCCTCTTCAAATATTTTCAATTAAATCATCTGAGAAGGTTTGCTTATAAATGCTAACGATTTTTCAAACTTTCTGGGAAATGCCCCCCCCCCAGTTACTCACCTTTTTTTTTAAAGCCCTCTCTGGAGAGTAGAGGGCTACCCTTTTTAATCAGCTTTTAAAATAAACCTTTGTAATCCCACATTTTACTTGTTGATTCTATTTTTAAAATGCCTCTGATTTTCAGTTTGGATTTTGCATCTTATTATTTCTCCTATAGAAGAAATATAAAAGGTTCATTTTTTTAAAAAGACTGAAATAATATCTGTAAGAAGAAGATTGCATAAAGCATAGGCATGGTTTCAAATACAACCAATACAAAGGAACATCAATCAACTAGCTGATATTGCAATGCCTATCCCAACAATAAAAAATTAAACCACAAAAGGAAATGGATTTCTTCAGTGTACCAACTCCAAATCCAACACAAACCTAATAGTCAACTCTGGTTTGGTACAAATGTTTAGTACAGGAACATTTAAAGAGAGACTCTCTTTAAATTACCACTAAAACTGTGTCAAAAAGAAGCTTCACTGAGTTCATCAGATTGTGAAGCTTCTTTTTGACACAGTTTTAGTGGTAATTCTATGTCCAAAAGCATAATTGGCAGATATCAGCTAATATTTGAGTTTTCTTGAATGTGTGCCCAAAAAAGATATCAAGCCAGAATTAATTTTGACAGATGGCTAAATCTGCCATCTATTCAATAGTCAAAATTGGCCCCCTCTCTAGTCTAGCTCACATGAAAGACAGTGATTGGCAGAGGCTTTTCCGCTTAATGGTGATGTTTGAGGAAGGAGAAAGAAACAAAGCCAGGGAAATCTCCCAATTCTTGTCCCACTAGTCCCTTCTACAGCAAAATGAAAACAAGTCCATGGCCCAGCATCATACATATATGCTGTATAGCGGACCACTAGTTAATTTAATGTTGATATAGTTTTCTTCTGACTTGAGTGATGTCTAGCATATTTACTCAGCCATGTGGAGTTGTTCTCAGAAAGAAGAATGAGATAAGCATATCCTGGAATCCTTCCCTTCTGCTTCTGTTCAACTTATTCTCTTGGCAGTGTTTACCATTCTATTAGCATATTTTCAAAGAATCTATGTAATTAATGAAAACAAGGTTTGTGCCAATTTGATACTATGCAGAAATATCAGCAGCAGAACAGGTTTCTTGAGAGCTATGAATATTTGTCTGGAATAATCAGCTACTACCATGACCTTAATAAATCTCAAGAGTATACCTATAAGGTACAGCTGGATTACAAGGATGGACATCTGCAGGGGATGTCAAAAAAATCAATCAGTTGCCTGCAACCGCATGATTGAAACTGTGTCCTTTTATACATACGTCATACAAACAATACAGTAAGGGAAATTTAATAATCATGGCATATTCCTGTCACAAGCATAATGGAAGCAAGCCTTCATTCCTCTTTATTAAATAATTAAAAAGTGGGACAGGCCAACCTATTTCTCTCTGATCTCTTGCTACATAGACTGTCATTGCATACTGGGAGGGAGAGGAGGTTCTGGTACCAAAACTATCATTTATTATGTTGCTAAGATTTGGTCCTAGATAGCATATTGACAAAAGAAGGATATTGTCAGCAGGAAAAGATGGAGAAAAGACGGAGAATAAGAGAGTTATTTAGAAATACTAGGTGGGCCATTGCCTGGAATGGGATTGGGCAACCAGCAGCTCTCAGCTTAATTTGATCTGGCCCTGGGTCTAATTTCATAAACGGCTGCAACCTGCCAAGAGCAATTTATCTTATTGTATAGGGAGAGACAAGCTGATAGAAGAGGGTGTTAG